CGTATTTCATTGGTGTCCGTAGTCCGGGTTGGAGCCAATTCAGTTCTGTGTATTACAGTATGATACGGGTTCTCGTATTCCTATATTCCGTACAATTCTCATTACCACAGCTACACTGCTCCCAATGTCTTGCACAGGTAATACGCACGCCTGTCCAACAAACGCTGTCTGATATTTCCCAGATTAGCTTTAACAAATGGTCTATGGGTAGAAACAAAGTAATGAAACCATTGGCTTCTGTCGACCCTTTCTGACAGGTCAGTTGAGAACCGAAAGATAATGTACGCTGTCAAACAGAAACTCTAATGAATATGGTCCGGAATCAGAGCCAGTGGTGAGAATTTTGTACATCTAGCACATCGTAGTCAATGGAAAAAAAAACAAAATGCAACAAAAGAAGATAAATAAATATTAAAATTGTCATATAATTTTGTATTTCTTTAGCCACTTGGTTCTCCTCCAACTTCCATCATCTATAGCATTGAAATTTTGCCTGGCGTTTACAATTTAGCGATTTCGTTTGCTTCTCCGATCGATTCATGTAATCGCACTGTTAAAATATACAAATTTCCCATTAGGTTGTGGTAATTCCTGCATATTTTGGATAAACTTACTGCAGTCACATGATCACACTAGGTGTACAGAGTCAGTCAAAATGTAGCTCAACTGATTTGCTTTTCAATTTTTGAGCACAATTCTATCCGCGTCTTGTACAATTACCAAGGCGTCTAGAACACCATTGTTTTTGCACACCGCATATTGGCATACTGATCCTGTTTAGAGTTTAGAAGTACTAATTCTTGCCCCAATCGATCAACTAATTCGGTTTTATTTTTATACACTGGTGGTCACCGTCCCAATCTCGACAAGGTTTGAACCAGTCAACAGATGTCACCGCCCACAGAAGTCTGGAAACATTGGTCGTTTCTCGACACAATGAACTACCATAATGCGTTTCAGTTATCACTACAAGAAGTTTGTGCCTCTCTCAATTAACTTCTACAGGAAGGTAGCCCCTAGTGCTGGTCTCCTACCTGACAGAAATCTTTTACCCAACTTTGTTTTGCTGTTGACAGACTACAATCGGTGTCGCCCCAGACACCCCTAAGGACAAAAATCACTGTTGTCATTTACCATAAGTTCCCGGATGGCGGTGATAAAGCTATTATGCACGCTTCGTGAACGCTGAATCTGAATGGAAATAACTATGATGCAATCGAGAGTAAAGTACTAATATCCCCTTCGCGATCACAAAGTTCCACGAGATGCTATTTATTTGGCGGTTCACCCTGTCTACTAAGTATAAGCCATTACGGTTTAATTGAGCTGAAAGACAAGCATTCAGGTATTTTCAATGAGTACACTTCAACGACGGCCAACGACCCTCATTTGATGACTTCGACGTCTGCAACACCGGATTCGTTCAAGCATATAGACTTTGACGCCTCATGCGCAATCTCCAGGAGCTGCCGTTTCGGTCACTGATGGTGTAAAATGTCAACTTTCAGACTCACTCCGCGACATGCCTATCACCGTTGACGATGTCCGATCAACTACTGGCCAACATCTCGTTCCCAAACAGATTATCACCTACATTCATACATGTTGACTAACTACTAGCCTCATCGGTAGGCCTCGTCAGCTGTTTCTGTACATCGCTATTAGTGGTTGATTATTGTCTAGGGTGTACGGACCGCAATTCGATGACCGCATCGTTCTGACCAGCTGTGCGTTGATAGTTTTATTACATCCGTCTTAGTATAAGCAGGATGAAAGTAATCGTGTGCAGCTGCGTCTACTGGTCTGCGAAAGACGATATCAGGAACCTAGTTCACGGCTCTCAGCTCGCCATCTGCCAGCTGTCATGACATGTACCAAAACAACCCTGGTCGCGTGGGCAGCTCAATTTTGCCAGTTCAATCAATGGAGTTTCTTTTTTTGTGGAAGCCTATTTAACGTAGCCTGAGAGCATTGGACTGATTTCAACAGCTACCTCAGTCACCAACGACCACCTTGCTGCAGCTCGGTTTCAATAAACGTGGTTACTCCATCAATCTCTGAGGAATTCTACCATTTACACAATATCGGGCATCTTCGACCTCGGCGTATCACTCAGAACCCACCGACCAGGTAGAACGATTTGTTAACATATTCACTAGGCTCGTGTATACGAGACCCCAGAGGAAAGCATTCGTTCCTATTTTCATGCAGAACAACTCCCATTCCAGTAAATTTTGACGGACTATCTCCCACCGAAGCGCTGATGGATCGAAAGTTGCTAATTACCTTTTACGTGTTCATCCAAACCGAATCCCTATCGGCTATACCTGTTACTACGATTGTAATCAGCACAAGTGTTCGAGAGCTTGATTACCGAGACGGTTTACCGAATTGGATTGGGGTATTCGTGGAATTTCATCAATGTAACACATGCTATTCGATGTTCACGCCGGTGAAGAATTTTCAACCCACCATCGTAGAATATTCCGTCCGCTAGATGATGATGGTGCAGCTGCAAACAAGTCGATCGGTTCATTGACCTTGAACACGCGGCTTGATACGTTCGGTCTTCCATCAAGTCAGCCCGATCCCACTGCCATATTGCACCCTCAACCTCGGATCATCCGGTCACCGAATCAGAGGCCGTGGTGTCTACAACTTCAACGAGCCATCTGCAATCTAGATGTCAAACCCACCAAAAGCGACATCCGACGCTAATCTACGGGCGGACCTAGCTCAGACACGACGATTGGGATTATTCCAGTATTTGTGCGTATTATGTTTGCTGTACACAAGGCGCAGGAATGACCTCGCGGACACCTCATCGTTGGCTGGATACCCAAGGCTATCCTCTTATGCCTATTGGTTCTTGTCCG